TAGTGTTTCAGCATAAATTTATCCAAACTATAAAGGAAAAACTAAGGCCAGTCTCATAACAATCATTTCAGTGAGGGAGAAGAGAGAATATACTTTGTACCTCATGTGTTTGTCTATTTATTTCTCTATTTTGAGGCATAATTGATATATAAACATTGCGTAAGTAGGAGGCGTACAAAGTGTTGATTTGAAACACTGTAACATTTCACATTGATTACCACTATAGCATGACCACCTCCACCCCATCACACAGTTGCCATTTCTTTTCTCTCATGGCTGAATAATATACCTTTGTATAAATATACCACATCTTTATCCATTCATGTGCTGATTGACACTTGGGTTGTTTCCACATCTTAGCTATTATGAATAATGCTGCAATAAACATGGGGGTGCAGATACCTCTTTGAGATCCTGTTTTCATGTGCTTTACATATATGCTCAGAAGAGGGATTGCTGGATCACATGGTAATTCTATTTTTAATTTTGGGGGGAAGACCTATACTGTTTTCTATATCCCATTTTAGAAGGCTAGTAAACCCTTGATCTCGAAACCCAATTAAGGACATTACATGATAAAATATTACAAACCAGTCTTGTTCAAAAATCCTTAATAAAAATGAGCAAATAGTATAGTTATATGAAAATAATATTTTATAGCCAAGTGGGATTTATACAATGTAGGCTGGATGACTTAATATTTAAAAGTGACATGCAAATTCGTGAAGCATTCTGTATTTTTAAAAAATTTTAAAAACTAAAAATGCATCAATAACGGATGGAAAAACGGATAGGTTGTTTTCAGAGCATACGAGGGATTCTGAACACATCTAACAAAATTAAATGGCCATTCACGGTAAACAAGACAAAACAGAACAAAAAATCAAACCTTGGTGAGATGGACAGTGCACGGCCTTAACCTGGCAAAGGCTATACAAGCAGCCCCACAAAGGGCATCGTTTTAAGGCTGAGATCTCGCTGTCAGCGTTCGCGTTCAGCACTGTACTAGCGCTCCAGGCAGCACAGGTGAGCAAGAGAAGGGAACAAAAGCCCTGGAAATAAAGTAAAACAAACTGCCGCTGCTCACAGAACACACTGTTGTGTCCACGTAAAACCCAATAGAGTAGGCAAGCTATCAGAATTAATAGATGAATTTTGCAAAGCTGCTACACAGAAGGGCAATTAAAAACTGTGTTTCTTCATATCACCAAAAAAAAGGATAGAAAATGAAATTTTTTTAAAAAAACCTATCACATACGCAACAATCTGAAAACATGTAATAAAAGCAATAAATCTAACGAAGGACAGGTAAGACCACCACACTGAGCTACAAAATTGAGAGAACTTCTGAAGCTCTGGATAAATGGAGAGCAGAAAGACTCAGCATTGTAAAGGCACCGATTTACTCCCAAAAGGAGCCTGTGGACTTGATGCAACTTCAGTAAAAAGCCCAGGGAGCCTTTCCTCCCTAGACATACTGAGGCTGAAAGTATTTAACAGCATCTTGAGAAACAAAACAAAGCTGGAAGCCTCACACTGCTCGGTGTCAAGCTTTGTTACGAAGCTAGAGCGTCTGGGTCTGTGTGTTCTCGGTACACAGACACACAAACTGAGCATGAGGACAGAAGGGGAAGGCTGGGTGCAGATGCAGCCAGCAGCCTGCAGGATGACCCAGGACACCAGCAGCCCTGCGGGGAAGGGATGGTCTTTCCAATAAGCTGTGCGGCCATATGCACAGCCAAGACGTGGACGCAACACAAACGCCCACCGACAGATGGCTGGGTGAAGAAGCTGTGGTATGTTTACACAATGGAATACTATTTGGTCATAAAAAATAGAATAAAATAATGCCATTTGCAGCAGCGTGGATGGATCCAGAGATCATCATTCTAAGTGAAGTAAGCCAGGAAGAGAAAGAAAAATATCATTCACTTATATGTGGAATATTAAAAAAAAAGACACAAGTGAACTTATTTACAAAACAGAAAAAAACTCACAGACATAGAAAACAAACTTATGTTAACCAGGGGGAAAGGGGATGGGTGAGCTTGGAGATTTGCAGATACTAATTACTATATATAAATTAGATAAACAAGTTTCTTCTGTATATACAGGGAACTATATTCAATATCTTGCAGTAACCTATAATGAAAAAGAATATGAAAATGAATATAATGCATGTTCATGTATGACTGAAGCATCGTGCTGGACACCAGAAATTGACACAACATCATAAATTGACTACACTTCAATTTAAAAAAAAATCTAATCCAGTAAATTTTTACTATATGAAGCAGATTTCCACATGAAAAATATAAAATAAGAATTAGATAAACTGGGCTATAATAAGGTTCAGAAATTCTATTCTTCAAAATACATCAATAAGAGAGTGAACTTCAACCAGACTAAAAGCAGATATTCATAGTGAACATACCTGATGAAGGACTCACATGCATAATTAGAAAAAAAGAAAGCTTCCTATTGTTTAGCAAAAAAGAAAAAAAAAGTGAACCCAATTTTTAAAAATGACGAAATGAGAAAATGACTCAAGAAGACATTTCACAAAAATAAAATGAATATTCAACTGACCAAAAACCATATGAAAATATTCTCAGCTTCATCAGTCACCAGAGAAATGCAAACTAAAACCACAAGAAGACACCACCGCCCATAACAGCATGGCTACAATAAAAAAGTGAGACACTTGAAGAGGTGGTGAGGACACGGAATAACCAGGACGCTCATGTGCACTGAGTACAGAGCGATACACCCTGAAAAAATGTTCGGAAGCACCTCTTTAAGTTGAATAAATGCACGGCACCGAACACAACAGTTACACTCCCAGGTTCACTCTGACAGAAATGCATGTGTGTTAAGCTATTCAAAGCTGCACTAGCCAGCGTCTCCTGATGCCAAGCAAACGCATGCTAACCCGAGGCTGGATATGCCCGCTGTGGTGACTTACACAACAGAACACCCTCGAGCAGCCGGAGTGGAAGCTCTCCAGCTCCCTGCGTTACTATGGACACATCTTACACACATTTGAGCAAAAAAAGCCACACACGCACCCCTCCCAAAACACTGCAGAGAACGTTCACATTGATGTAAGGAACCAAAATAAGCAAGTTTAATCCATGCCATTATTACAAGTCAGCACAGACACTGTGTTTAGAGAGAAGTTACTGGAAAACATACGAATGCTCAATTTGGGACAATTCATCAGGCTGTGCATTTGACACGCACACTTTTTATCTTACTCTTCCGTTAAAGTCAACACACACACACGCACCGTGAGACACATCAGAGAAAAACTGCTGAAACCCAAAGACAAATCTTAGAAGCATTGAAAGAAAAAGGACATATTGTTTTCAAGTGAGCGACAAGAAGATTTACAGTTTTTGCAAGAGGAATGATTAATGCCGTATTTAAGTGCCAAAAAACCAAAACCAAAAAAACCTGCCAACCTAGGACTCTAGAACAGCAGAAAACACTCTTCAAAACTGGAGGTGGAATAAAGACATTCTGGGCAACAAAAAAGTGTATTCATCACCAGCAGAGGGGTGCCAAAAGAATAAAAGTTTCAGGCAAAAGGAAAAAAAATATCCTGATGGAAACAGAGACACGCAGGAAGGCAGGAAGGACAATGGACAGGGGTAAACATTTGAGTAAAATCGCAGGTTTGAAGGATGACTTCATCGTTAAGGAACAGGTCAGAACATGGGCACATGCTCACTCTACTCCTGATTTCAAAAATCATTTTGAAAACTATGTGTTAAAGTTACAAAGTTGAAAATGACAACAGACACATACACCTACCATACATGTATGAGTGTGGCAGCGCTGTGTTTACGAAAATGCGAGGGGAATTTGAAGGCGCGATCCCAGAGGTGGGCTACGTTAGGTGGGGAAGGAAGGGAGCAGGCTGGCGGATACCACAGACATAGGATTCTATCCGTCTTCTAGTTCTCCTGCAGGCTTTTGATTTCACAGTTTTTCTTTCCATGTTCTGTTTAATTCTCTTTAAAGTGGCCTTTGGAAATCGCCCAGCAGTGTGATGACAAAAGTGTAAAGGTCAGCTCTCTGAAAGAAAATACCTGATTTGTAGCATCTGTCAGTTTCCAGGGTGTAAGTACCCGGAGTGGCTAATTTCAAGTTCCCAAAGTGACATCACTGAACAGGCGACTGGGAAGGGCTGTTTACAGTCAGGCGTCAGGAACTGGCTTGAGCTGGCTGGCTTCACGCGTCACTGCGTACAGAGTTCAGTAAGGTGAAACTGTATTAATCCGAGGGCCTGGGCTACAGGGCTGTCTTTAAGAAAATAAAGTTTAGAAAGAGGAAACAAGAGGGAGGGAGGGAGGGACAGAGAGATACAGAGGTAGAAAGAGAGAGAGACAGAGAGAGAGACAGAGAGAGACAGACAGACAGAGAGAGCCGAAGAGACACAGAGAGAGAAAGGGAGACAGAGACAGAGGGACAGGGAGAGAGAGAGAGACAGAGGGAGAGGGAGAAATTTTATTTGGCCAACTAATAAGAGGATTTTAGATAAAACCCCAAGAAACAGTTTTTGTATGTATCTTGCATTGCTAATTATATAGAATTCCAAGATGCATCCAGCAACTTATTATTATTATTACCTTCACCGAGGAAAATGAGGAACTTCATTAGTGGTACCAAGTCAAAATCCCAGTTGGAGTAATCATCTGAATTTGTATGTTTCAAATATTCTTTTTTTCAAGAACAATGCACTTAAACGTACTTAAGGGAGTATCGTGTATCATCATCATAGTGAGACCTTGCAGTTAAGGAAAGGGGCAAAGGAGACAAGCTTTTAGAAGCGCTGATATGCGTTTAGCACTTGGTAAAACCAAACAATGACCAGGTTGGATAGGAGGCTTGGGGCAGAGATGGACGAGGGACGAGGGCTGCCCGACAAAGCCTTGAGGCTTCTGTAGAATTTTTCAGGAAGCCGAGTTCTTTTCTCAGCCACGTCACGGGGAGGATCAGGGGCCTACGGGGCAGAAAGAAAACCGGTCGTTTTTACACACCATTGCCCACCGCAGGCTGCTAACTGCTGTGGGCACGCCTAGCACACCACATCCTGTGCGCTTTTCACACTGGCGAGGCGCCTGCCTCAGGTGCATCAGAAGCGTTGTGAACCCCTCATGTTCATCACCTGTGCACCTCGGTAAATTCTGGAAGAGAGTGGGGAAAAGCTTGGGGTGAAAAAATCCCAAGCTGAAGACGCGGACTTCCACAGCCCCGGGCTGGAGGCGGGGGCCATGTGAAGCCGGGTTCGTCCACCGCCCAAGTCCGGGCCAAGCTGCCAAGGCTGATGTCCACGGGACACGCTGACTGGGAGTTCAGGATCCTTCCTTGCAGGGTTCCATCAGGGCCAGAGGATCTGGACGCAAGTGGGTGAGTCCATCTCGCACGTAGGCTGTTGCCTTGGCTGAACACCGGGGGTTCTCCCAGCTGTGGGCTCATTCAGAAAACCTGGTGGGGGGGTGCTTTGCAGAGGAGTCTGCTGGAAACAGCCACGGTGCCCCAGGCCCCAGGGCACTGCAGGCTTAGATTCTGTTCTGTAGACCCCAGAGCAGACACTCCTGTCTGGATGAGCCAGGCTGGGGACGCTCAGAAACGGGGTGTCTTTGAGATCTGAGCAGGCCATCCGTGTAATGAGGGAAAGACACAGGGCTGCAACAAACAGATGTCTTTGAGGACCAGAACTGCAGTCTGTTCACGAGAGTCACTACCCATCACAGCCCCAGGAGGAGGACTGGTCAGCAGAGAGTGACCACGACAGGCTATTTTTGGAATATTTGGACTACTCTGATGCAAACTCATCTTTTTCCTGCGGGGAGAGGACGCCATTTTGTTTACTTATTTATGGAGGTCCTGGGGATTGAACCCAGGACCTCATGCCTGCCAAGCACACACTCTACCACTGAGCACCCTCCCCCCTCATCCTTTGTTTTTAACTGGGATATAATTAGCATGTAACGTCGTGTAGGTTTAAGGTGTAGCATATTGATTCCACACATTCACCGCAGTGCAGTCGCCATGTAGTGACAGCTAACACCTCACCTCTGCTGGGTCACTTAATTACCATTTTTTCCGATGGTGGGAACAACGAAGATCTCGTCTCTTAGCAGACTCCGTGTTTAGAACCCAGTGTCGTTGTCTACACTCACTGTACTGTGCATTAGAGCTCTGGGACTTGTTTAGCAGTTGCTAGTTTGTATCCTTAAAAGCGTCTCTTTCCTTCCCACCTCAGCTGCTGGTAACCACCGCTCCACTGTTTCTTCAGTAAATGTGTAACATTTCATGTTGCATCTTAGGTCATTTTATTTACGTGGATTTGGCCTTTGCGTCTGACGTTCTGTTCATATTTAATTTGCAAATGTTGTGTATCTACCTGCGTCTATTAAGGGAATCATTCCACACTTGTGCCTCATTTCAAGTGGAAGTTTTGTGTGAGGATTGAGGATGCGCTATGCTTATCCTGCGGTGAGCCTCGGGCACAAATGTTCTCCAGTGGGAGACCACTGTCTCAGAAGAACGCAAAGGTTGGGGGCCTTCCAGAGGGTAGGCCCCACATCACCTTCCTGAAGGAAGAAACCAGAATGACCACCCGAGGGATGCCCGGACCTAGTACGTGGACGAACCTGTAGGCACCGAGTTGTTCTAGTCAGCCCGCCCCCACATCCTCCCTGCATGTGCCCTTCAGGTACAATGGGACCAGTAATTAGAATCCATCCAGGAAAACAGAAACTCTTCTCTGTATTTAGAAGAAAGAGAACTAACTCCAAATGATACTCTGAACTGGATCCTGACACAGGAAAAGAACAAGAGTGAAAAAAAAATGGATTAATTCCAAATAAAGCCTGGACTTCAGTTAGTGATCGGATCAATGTCAATTGCTTGGTTTTGACATGTACCGTGATTATGTGAAATCTTAACATTAGGGGAAACTGGATGAAGGGCACGTGGCATCTTTCTGCGTCTTTCCAAATTTTCTGCACATCTAAAATTATTTCAAGGTAACTTTGTTTTAAAGAAAATAAGTTAGCAAACAAACACTTTCCAAAAAGAGAAAAAAAATTCAGTGCTATCAGACGAAATAAAAGCGCGAGTGGGAGAGCTGTGAGTGTCAGCTTTGCGTGGGCACTTACTGAGAACTGCGGCGCAGGAGACAGCCTCTCAGAGAGCTCCGAGGAGCTGCTCTGAAGAGATGCTGGGGGAAGTCAGCACACACATGATTTTGGAGACGGCGTACCTGTGACCAAGCACACATCTCCATAGACGGTTGCTGCTAGTCACGAGGCATAAGGTAGCTCAGTTAATGATTTTAAGCAGAAGAAGATGCAAGAATTTGGGTTCATGCAATTTTCTCCTGAAAATATCCAACTACCTGAAGGTCTGTGCTGCCAGCTTTCCCAGAGCCCAGAGCACCTCACTCCTGACCTCCGCCCTGAACCCCCTCAGGGGGTGTTCAAGGTCAGCGACTGCAGTGGCCATGACTCAGTCCTTGTAGAGCTGGTGGAGAGTGACATTCTCTGGTTGGCAGTGATCACCTGGGACCCAAGAGTGTTGGCCTTAAAAATAATAATAGCCAGTTACTTTAGCAGCAAAATGAGTTCCTTCGGGAATCGCAGAGAATTGCAGTCTGGGGCAGGCCAGCTACGGCGGACCGCAGTCAAGCCTGGACAGACAAAGGGAAGGTCACGCTTTATCAGGTTTTAGGAGATAATGGGGAGGGGCTGTTGTGAACAGAAGTTCACTAAAGAACAAAGGAGGTTTGGTATTTTCTTATTAGCTGCAGGCTGTGGTTAGGGTGTCATTGCGGAGGCAGGGAGGAAATCTTCCTTCTTTTTCTTAAGGCAGGAAATGAAATTTCTACGCGATAGTGTCCTTCCTTGTCAAAGTAGCTCGCATCTTCCTTCTCCCTGCTGCTAGCACAGGCTGTAGCGCGTGCTACCTGCCCGAGAACTTCCCCTGCAGGGCTCCTCAACTCCGTCTTTAATGAGGTTACTTATTCTCACAGAGGGAACATGGAGTCTTGGTGGTGGTGGAAATCTTGACTATGATGGTGGTTTCACAACTGTCAGAACTCACTGAATTGCAGACATTTAATGCATACACTTAGTTGTATGCAAATTATCTCTGAATAAAGCCGGTAAAAGCCACCAGTGAAGATGAGAGGGAGGGAGAGAGAGAGAGAGAAGCCGTCACCCAAGTGAAGGGCTGTGAAGCAGAACAGGGCAATGACGCAACGCTGAGAATCCCGAGAGTGGGAAGCTGGAGCCAAGCGTTGGAGGTCACCCGACAGAAGCTGGAATCACATCGGCAAAGACTGGGGTCATGGGGGAGACACAGTTATCCGGAGAGATTCAGTGTGTGGGGAGGTTGGGAACAGCCTGGCCAGGTTACAAGGGCAAATGGGAAAGGCAGCCTTAGGGGTCAGCCCCTTCCATGAACCACAGGTTGGGGGATGGATCTGATCATAAAGGACCAGGGAGCAGTGCTGTGAGGAAGGGGGACACAGAGCCACTAGACACAGAAAAGCAGAGAAAACAGAAGGAGACACCCAAGGTAGGGGCTGGGGACAGCGAGCAAGCAGAAAGACACAGATACGTAGGCCTGGCTGGTGTTAGTTAACTTGGCTGATTCCTGGACTTTATCCTTCAGCCTCTACAATTTGCAAGGCCATGAAAATAAAACTTCATTCATCACCGTCAAGATGAGAGCCATGTTCAGCATTCAACTTGACTCTGGGGAATCTCATCTTCCTTTAAGTTTTTACTATGAAGTCTTTAATTGGCATTCATTTCTTGGACGCTTTTGAGAAGCAATTAAAATATTGTATTAAGCAGTTTCGTTTTTAAAAATAAGTATTAAGATTGATGTGCTTTATAGAGTTAGTCTGACATTTTCACAGAAAATCTAGCATATTTATTGTTATTATTAAGAACTCCAGGGATAGGCAGTCCCAGGGTGGGTTCAGCAATTTGGGGACCTCCTAAGAGCCCTGGATATTGTATTCTTACACCTCAATTTGTTTGGTATTTCCACTGCTGTGTTCAAGCTTGTTGCCTCATGGTGGCAAGATGGCTGTTGCAGCTCCAGATATCACATCATCATGATACAGCTGCCCATGGACAGAAGTAAAGGAGGCAAAAGTCTCATGAGATCCTTTGTTATTAATAGAGAAATATGATTCCTAGAAATCCTGATATATTCTGCTTTAAGTGTCATTGGCCAGACATGGGCACGTGTTCCACTCTGGACCAATCACTGCAAATGGGATTACTGGATTGCCTTAACCCAAATTCATCCTCCCCACTCCCCCCAGCCCCCAGCCCCAGGGTTGGAACATAGCCACTCAAACAGAACTAGCTTTCTGTTAGTAAGGAAAACACGAGCAATGGCTGCTGTGTAGACCACCGTCAACATCCGCCACGGCTACCCCTGGGAGGAGCAGCTCTCCCCTGTCCTCAGGGGCAGTGGACGTGAGGTTCCACGATGGCGCTCCTGTCCTGCTGGGCTCCGTGTGCACAAATGCCTCCCCCACATCCAGTCCTGCTCTTTATTTTAGCGGCCAGCTGGGTGCCCCCCCGGGGGGCAGCTCCCAGGGTCTATCTCCTGGTCGTTCAATCCCTTTAGGATTTTGCATATGCTGCTAGACCAGCCTGCCATTCCCTGGTTCCAGTGCCACTGGGGGAAGATGGGAAGACAACCCATGTTAGTAGGATAATTTGAATGTACTCAATACCTTGCTGCGAATTTAACACATATCGCGCTATTAAATACTTGGGGGAGGATTTTGGGCTTCCCATTTTATTTTGCTTTATTTATTTGTTTGTGGGGGGAGGCAATGTAATTAGGTTTATTTATTTATTCTTAGAGGAGGTACTGGGGATTGAACCTAGGACCTCATGCATGCTAAGCATGCAGCCTACCACTTGAGCTATACCCTCCCCGCTATTTTTATTTTTTTAATTGAAGTATAATTGGCTTATAATGTTGTATTAACTTCTGGCATACAGCATAGTGATTAAGTTATATTTATATATATATATATATTCCTTTTCATATTTTTTCATTATAGGTTATTATAAGGTATTGAATATATTCCCTGTGCTCTACAGAAGAAACTTGCTATGTATTTTATATATGATAGTTATATCTGCAAAACCTGAACTCCTGATTTATCCCTCCCCGCCTCCCCCCTGGTAACCACAAGTTTGTTTTCTATGTCTGTGTTTCTGTTTTGTAAATAAGTTCATTTGTCTCATTTTTTTAATATTCCACATATAAGTGATATCATACAGTATTTGTCTTTCTCTTTCTGGCTTACTTCACTTAGTATGATGATCTCCAGGTCCATCTATGTTGCTGCAAATGGCATTATTTTATTCTTTTTTTATGGCTGAGTAGTATTCCATTGTATATATATAATGGACATTATATATATATATCACATTGTAATATATAAAATATATATAATATATCACAATTATATATATATATATACAATATATAATTATATATCATATATAATATATATATCACCATAATATGTATAATATGTATCACATCTTCTTTACCCAGTCATCTGTCGATGGACATTTAGGTTGCTTCCATGTCTTGGCTGTTGTACATAGTGCTGCTCTGAACATTGGGGTGCACGTATCTTTTCAGATTAGAGTTCCCTCTGGATATATGCCCAGGATTGGGATTGCTGGGTCATATGGTAAGTTTATTTTTAGTTTTTTTTTTACATTTATTGATTCATAATCATTTTACAGTGTTGTGTCAAATTCCAGTGTATTTTTAGTTTTTTAAAGTATCTCCACACTGTTTTCCACAATGGCTGCACCAAACTACATTCTCAACAGTATAGGAGGGTTCCCTTTTCTCCATACCCTCTCCAGCATTTACCATTTGTGGAGTTTTTAATTATGGCCATCCTGACTGGTGTCAGGTGATATTTCATTATAGTATTAATTTGCATTTCTCTGATAATTAGCGATATTGAACATTTTTTTCCATGTGCCTGTTAGCCATTAATATGTCTTCACTGGAGAAATGTTTGGTTAGATTTTCTGCCCATTTTTTGATTGGGTTGCTTATTTTTTTTGTTATTGAGTTGTATAAGCTGTTTGTATATTCTGGAAACTAGACCCTTGTCAGTCACATCCTTTGCAAATATTTTCTCCCATTCCCTGGTTGTCTTTTTGTATTGTTTATGGTTTCCTTTGCTGTGCAAAAGCCTTTAAGTTTAATTAGGTCCATTTGTTTATTTTTGCTTTTATTTCTTTGCCTTTAGACTGCTCTAGGAGAATATTTCTGCAATGTATATCAGAGAGTGTTATGACTGTGTTTTCTTCTATGAAGTTTATAGTGTCTTGTCTTATGTTTAAGTCTTTGTTGGGCTTCCCATTTTAAATATGAAGAAACGTTGGCATTAAGTGGTGCAATGCTTTGCCCAAGAACGGACGGTTGTTGTGTGGAGCTGAGACTGACAGTCAAGTCAGCTGGCCGCACAAACCCACGTTCTGCTTGTCCCGTAGGTTGAGAATGAGGCTCCCCGTCAGGCGGTGCGTCAGGAGATGAGTTCAAGCTCCTGATTTGGAAGCCAGGTCTCCCCTCTGTCTCATCAGCGGGAAGTGTGGAAAGGAGGGGAGAGGGAGCTCTTCCCCTTTGTGTGAGGCAGCTGATCTGGAAACTCCACGAAGGGCCCCCGGCCAGCACACCCTCTTCTCTTGTGTCATCTGCAGGCTCTGTCCTTCCTCCACAAATGCCAGGACGGCGCCGGCTGCAGGGGCTGAGCCATGTCCCTCCATCCCACCGGCCTCCTGGGCCTCGGTGAGTCCTGGAGCGGAGGGGCGGGACTCCGGGGAGAAAGGGATCTGCCTCCCAGCTCAGTGCTGACTCCAGCCCAGGAGACGCTGGGACCCTCGGGGAGCAGGTGGAGCCCCCAGGTCTGTCCCCTCAGCTCTGGCCAAGATGGAAGTCTGACCACGGAAGGTTCAGTCCTAGAAACGGGTACCTGGGAGTGGGGTTGAATTTTCAGACTGTGAGGGGCTGGGGGGGAAGATGCCTGCTTGAAAGCGGGGCTTGGGGGTTATGTAATGTGAGAAAGGGGGGCTGGAAGTTATGGGAAGGTGGCCCCCGTTTCCTCCCCGAGCCCTCTGTGACTGCAGCCCCAGGAGGAACCCGGGCGGAGGGTGTTTTTCTCATTGGACCTTCCCTTCCAGTGCTCTGTCTGGGCCAGATGATCTGTGCACAGGAGGGTGAGTCTTCTCCCCGACCACCCCCCTACCCC